CGGGAGGAGAGAGGAAGGGGGAGGAGGAGGAGGAGGAGGAGGAGGAGGAGGAGGAGGAGGAGGAGGAGGAGGAGAAGGAGGAGGAGGAGAGGAGGAGGAGAGGAACGCGGGGCGACGTGTTTTCAAAACGAGGACCCAACACCACAGGATGGTTGGGAACAGGGGCCCAACACACAATGTTTGGGAGCAAAATGCCATCCCGAAGAAACCATCGGAAAAGACTACACATTCGGTGCCGATTCGTTGTTTTTTGTGGCCGCAGAACCCCCCTCCACTTTTGGGCGTCGTCGTTTTCAAGAAGTATCGTGCGGGAGCCCAGTTTCTGCTTTGAGAAGGCGATGTTGAAAGCAGAGTCAGCGGGTGCTTTCGATCAGCCCCGCCTTGTGTGGAGCTTTTCGGGGAGCCTAACCAGGTAGACATGGAGCCACAACTCCATACCGGCACAGGCCTCTCGAAGACGATCCTCTTACCCTCCAAGGAACCCGGCGCCATGCCATGACATGTTGTGCGGTGTTGTGCTCTGCGCCGCTGTGCGATGCCATGCTTTGCGTCGCAATACTTTGTGATGCAATTCTTCTCTGCGCAATGCCACGCCATGCTATGGCATGCTACGCCCTGCCGTGCTTTTCTACGCCATGCCATGCCGTGCTCTACCATGCATTGCGTACCCTCTCGCAATCATTGCCCTGCTCGACATCCGAGTGTGCGAATAGAGAATATATATATATATATATATATACGCCATGGTAAGGGATGGGAGGGAGGGGTAGGACGTCAGAAATCACGCGAACGCACCTAGCTTGCTACCCCCCCTCCCTATCCCCTCCTCTTTGCGGCCGCTGTCCCGCTCAGGGCCGCCGCGTCGACGCGGCGGCCGCCGCCTCGGCCGCGGCGGCCGTGGCCGCCGGCGCGCGGGCGACCGGCCTCGCGGGTCCGAACGGGGGGAGGGGAAGGGGGGGGTGTCGAGGAGAGGAGTGGAGGAGGAGGAACGAAGCAAGAAAAATTGGGAAAAGGGGCAGCCGTTGGCGGCAGATCAGCTGAACCCTCATGAAAGGGGTCGTGCTGAGATGCTGCTGAGCGCACTCGGGCGCTAAGCGAGCAGCCCCCCGCCTCCGCTTGGTCCACCGCGAGCGGTGCCAGCGCAGTGACCACCACAAGCGGCCACGACCACAGCCACAAACCCGGATCACCACGGCCGCCAACAGCACGACAACCATTGCCGCCACCACCACCACGACGACGACTTTGAACACGACGACCCCCACGACCACCGACGCCGCGACCACGACCAGCGCCGGCACATTCACCACCGCGACCACCGGCGACCAGCACTACGACCACGACGGCGGCCAGCATGACGGCGCCATGACCACCACCAGTCCCACTATCAGACCACCGACCCGACTGCCCCCGCCCCCGGCCGCCCCTCTCCTTTCCTCTCCCTGCCCCTGCTGGGTCGCCCTTGCTGCCGCACGCGCCTTGCGCTTCGCCTCTGCCTTCTTCCTCGCCCCTCCCTTTCCTCTGCATTTCTCATTGTACAATTTAGTGAGTTATTATATCTTACACTTATCGGCTGAAAGCCATGGGACCAGTTCTTCAAACGCTGTGTCCGGTACGTTGCGTTTTTTGAGGCTAGGGACCCAGGACCATAACCCCAACGCCCGTGTGCCCCCAGGCCTTTTTGGGGGGAGGGGGGGGGAGGAGGAGGAGGAGGAGGAGGAGGAGGAGGAGGAGGAGGAGGAGGAGGAGGAAAAGCAGGAGGAGGAGGAGGAGGCAAGGGGAAGAGAAGGAGGAGGAGGAGGAGGAGGAGGAGGAGGAGGAGGAGAAAGATAATGAGGAGGAGGAGGAGGAGGAATGGGAGGATGTGGAGGAGGAGGTGGAGGAAAAAGGGTATGAGTAAGAGGAGGAGGAGGAAGAGGAGGAGGAGGAGGTGGAGGAGGAGGAGGAGCAGGAGGAGGAGGACGACGAGACGGAACCGTAGCAGCCAGGCTCAAACATTTCACAGCGACAATGTTTTCATCGTTTCCCGAGGGGAACTAGAACAACTACTCATTGCAGAACAAGAGCAGTACGAATACGACAACGGTGCACGATTGACTTTCACAGGACATATACCACCAACACCACCACAGCAACGCATCCCGAACATCGTCTTCAGGCCCAAAACCAGCAAGACAGGCCACCGCCGACTGCCAGCTACGAGCCCACACCACCTCCCGAGGCGCAGATACCCACACCACCGACACAGACAGCACCTCAGCAGCAATCGCAACCGTTTCCACCCCACAACCCATGGGCCACGTAAAAGACAACGCAGTACATACACCAGTCGACGACACATCCGACTCCGACAGCAGCATCGACACACATGACCCATGGGGCAAGCTAGACGGAGCAGCAGACACAGGAGTTTTACCTTACATCGCTGCCTCCACATGAAAGACACGACATGCACTGCCCAAGCGGATGGACTCCTTACGCCCACGACACCAGGGACACAGACACCGACGGAAACGAGGACGACCGATGGCATTATGCCGTCTACTACCACGAAGCCACATTTTGTTTCGTCGGCGGCGAGGCGGGGCAATCCGCTCCACCGTGGCAGCGATGCAGGGGCACTACAAAGGGGCGGCCGCGGGAGGGGGGGGAGGGCGAGCATTCAGAGGCACGAAGCCACAAACACCTTCGCGTACCAATTCCCAAACGAACATTTGCTCTTACCAGGTTGGCAAAGGTACCTGGATAAGTACAACAACGAGCTCCTCATACACCGAGACCAGCAATACCTTCCACACCCTCCACTACGGCCCGACTAGCGCGCAACACCATTCTCGACTTTCAAACTGCCGTTCACAGGTCGTACCAAGTTCCGCATGCCCAAGAACGCAATACATGCCGACATTTTTGCCACCCTACAAACCCACTCGCAACCAACCACGGCTCGGACTGGGCAGCGACATGCCAGCATTCGCGGCATTCGCCAGCCATTATCGCAACAACGAAGCGGTCAGGCTCGCAGTAGCCACTACCAGCCGCCACTTCCACTTGACTCTTAAAGACAACACTGCTGCACTGAACCACAACAGCAACATTAAAGCCATCTAGGAAGTCTCGCAGTGGCTCAACACTTGCCACGACGACAACGACACAATTAAGTACGACTAGGCAGCCAACATTCACGAAACAGCAGCACTCCTACATAATATCTGCAACCCGACAGCAGCACACAGTCCTACCAGACCCATCCAGACAACGCCCGTCGACACCAGCTCAAGCGACGATGACCACTCGACCACGCCCGACACGACGAACGACTGACGCGACACAGGACCGACTGAATCGACACCCGCACCAATTCCACCCGCCAAAAATCCGCCACAGCGGTCAACCCCACCAGCCAAACAAACACCACCGCAGAGGTCAACAGCACCCCACCCAACCAGTGACCCGGACACATTCACACCAAAAGCCCTTCTTTCAAAGGCCATAGCCATTTGGTCACCCACAGTACGCTACATAATATCCATACACCCACCGCCACCTACACTCAAGATCTCCAGTGTCTGCCTACTAATCGAGGACGTCATGACACAACAGCGGCTACAAGACATACCAACCCATCACCGTGAACCACAGACTTACGCCACCAGGCAGGTATACGTCCTTACCAAGGCAAGGCGCCACCTGGCACTCCACTTCATGCCATCAACGTGCAAGCCCCGCGTACCGACACCAACAGCTTGGGACGCATTTTCTTGCACGACATCGGCGACCCGCGTTTCCTTCCATACATCGCCATCGTACGAACGCACCAAGCACAGTACAAGCAGCACCCCACGGAGGCTCACATTCGCAACCTCCAACACGGGATACCTTACAAAGAAGCGCCACTGGTAAACCGTATTCACTCGTCTTCAAGCACCACCGAAGCACAAGCAGCACCATACCCACCAGACGACGGCAGCAACAACACGTGACACTCACACGACTACGCTACCGCGAACTGACCAGACAGTTCCGACGCGTGTACCTACAATCAAAACATGGAATGGGCATGCTGCGACATCCACCACAAGCTCTACCCCGTTGCTGATCTCCGCAGAACCTCAATGGCTGACATCCTCCTCTCCTCCTCAATTGTTTCCTCCCTCGCAGTAAACAGCGCAGCGGTACCAGCTGCTGTATCCCAGCAAGCCCAGCTGCTTACATCACTCTCTGGACGCCCATGCGTGCTTTGCGCGTGCACAATACTTGCTGTGTGCACAGTGTGCCTCATCAGACGGAGGCCCCACGCCAGCAGCCAGACAAGAGTCACTCCACTCCTGCTGTCGTCATCGTCTTTCCACTTGCTCCCCCTACGTTTCCCGCTTTTAACGAGGTCAGCTGACCTTGCCAGGCGCGTCCTCTTGGCCTCCCTTCACTCTGTGGGACCGCGCCCTACCGACTGCTGCGGACAGCAGTCGCCCTGAGCGTCCCTTGGACGCTTAAAGCTTCTGTTCTCTCCTCCGGTTGCTCGCGGCCCCTGCTCCCCCACCTCTTCCCCGTCGTTGTTGCTAGCTTTGCTTGTATTATGTTCTACCTTGCCGTATTGCACGCTCACCCTCCTTATTCTCGTTTGATGTTATTGGCAATCTCTTTACCCGGTTTGTCCAACGTTGGGGAGGTTTGGGATAAAAGGGGGTCTGGAGAACGGCATGCAGCTACGTAATGCTCAGTGGCGCTGCGCGCCTGCATGACTTGTGTCACCAATCCTGCCTCGCACCATTTTCCCTCGCGCAAAGCTGTGCACAGGCCAGCCAACACCGACCAGCACCTCCCTTCCCACGTCCTCTGGCTGCATGACGGTGAATGTACACCCTCCACCGAAAAAAAAACCGAAGAACGGGCCTACTGCCAGCCAATTAGAAGCCTAACAAGGCCAGAGGGACCTTACATAGCCGTACCAGAGGCCCGTTCAAACAGACTTGGCCAGCCTCTGATCACAGCACAGGGTGGAGATGGAGCATCCTACAGAGCTGTATCACTACGTAGGCCAGCCTCTACTGACATGGCCAGCCTCGGATTTCAGCACAACACATTGCCACACGCCTGAACTCACATCGAGTCCTACAGAGGAAAGGGCTACCTTTATTTTTGGCGACGTTCGCCACGCTTTTATCCCTACTTGCTCGCAGCCGCTGACAATACCAGTTTCCTTGCCATTTGCCAAGACTTGCTCGCAGGTTATTCGCAGCCGCAGCTTTTAGCAGTGAGTATTTTGGAGACAGGGGATTCACGCAGCTGCACCACTAGGCCAGCCTCTACCGACTCGGACAGCCTTTGTCTACTGCACAATACATTGCGAGACGCCTGAACTTTTCCGGTCCTGCAGTAAAAGGACTACTCCCTACCTTTGGCGGCAGCCGCCGCGTTTCTTCTTCCAATTTACACGCAGCAGTTGATACAATATCATATGCAGCAGACAATATTATGTCTCTTCGCTCACCCGCCTCGTTTTTCCCTACCTAGGCTCTGCCTAGAGGGTTCTTACTCTCTTAGCTTAAAGGGGCAGGCAGTGTAAAGCGCCCCGGGCGGTTCCCCCAGTCCCCGCCTCGCGGTTCCCCCGGGTACGTCCCCTTAGCTGAGCGTTGCTTATCTCATCTTAGCTTAGCTTAGCTTAGCTTATCTCATCTTAGCTTAGCTTAGCTTTAGCTTAGCTTTAGCTTAGCTTTAGCTTAGCATTCGCTTAGCTTTAGCTTAGCTTTAACTTAGCTTTAGCTTAGCTTCAGCTTAGCTTTTGCTTAGCTTTAGCTTCGCTTTAGCTTAGCTTTAGCTTAGCTTTAGCTTAGCTTTAGCTTAGCTTTAGCTTAGCTTTAGCGTAGCTTTAGCTTAGCTTTAGCTCAGCTTTAGCTTAGTGTTATCTTAGCTTTAGCTTAGCTTTAGCTTAGCTTTAGCTTAGCATTCGCTTAGCTTTAGCTTGGCTTGAGCTTAGCTTTAGCTTTAGCTCAGCTTTAGCTTCGCTTGATCGTAGCTTTAGCTTAGCCTTAGCTGAGCTGTAGCTGAGCTTTAGCTGAGCTTTAGCTGAGCTTTAGCTTAGCTTTAGCTTACCTGCAGCTTACCTGCAGCTTAGCTTTAGCTTAGCTTCTAGCTTAGCTGTAGCTTAGCTTTAGCTTAGCGTTTCGCTTAGCTTTTCGCTTAGCGTTAAGCTTAGCTTTAGCTTAGCTTTAGCTTAGCTTTAGCTTAGCTTTAGCTTAGCTTCAGCTTAGCTTTAGCTGAGCTTTAGCTGAGCTTTAGCTTAGCGTTAGCTTAGCTTTAGCATTCGCTTAGCTTTAGCGTATCTTTACTGTTGCTACTAATGCTGCTTTCCTAGGGGCTTCAACTTCTAGGTAGGGTCGCACTGGGATAATTTTCTGCATCTGCAGCAGGTGAGAATACTTGTATCATCGCTCGTTCGCCTTGCACGTTTGCATCTCACTCACACCAGCTTTTTCCCTACCTAGGCTCTGCCTAGACGGGTTCTTACTCTCTAGCTTAAAGGGGCCGGGCAGTGGAAAGCGCCCCGGGCGGTTCCCCCAGTCCCCGCCCCGCGGTTCCCCCCAGTCCCCTGGGAGCTTTAGCTTCAGCTTTAGCTTTAGCTTTAGCTTAGCTTTAGCTTAGCTTTAGCTTAGCTGTAGCTTAGCTTTAGCTTAGCGTTTCGCTTAGCTTTTCGCTTAGCGTTTAGCTTAGCTTTAGCTTAACTCTAGCGTAGCTTTAGCTTAGCTTGAGCTTAGCTGTATCTTAGCTTTAGCTTTGGCTTAGCTTTAGCTTAGCTGTAGCTTAGCTTTAGCGTAGCTTTAGCTTAGCTTTAGCTCAGCTTTAGCTTAGCTGTAGCTTAGCTTTAGTTTAGCTGTTGCTCAGCTTTAGCTTAGCTTTAGCTTAGCTTTAGCTTAGCTTTAGCTTAGGTTTAGATTAGCTTTAGCTTAGCGTTAGCTTAGCTTTAGCTCAGCTTTAGCTTCGCTTGATCGTAGCTTTAGCGCTTAGCTTTAGTTTAGCTTTAGCTTAGCTTTAGCTTAGCTTTAGCTCAGCTTTAGCTTAGCGTTACTGTTACTACTACTGCTGCTTTCCTAGGGGTTCCAACTCCTAGGTAGGGTCGCACTGGGATAATTTTTATCATTGCCTTGGGGGCAGTTCGTAGCTTTTTCCCTGCCTAGGCTCTGCCTAGAAGGGTTCTTACTCTCTAGCTTAAAGGGGCCGGGCAGTGGAAAGCGCCCCGGGCGGTTCCCCCAGTCCCCTGGGAGCCAAGCAACAGCAACAACAAAGGTAAAAGCAAATGCGCGGTTCCCCCAGCTGCGCTCCCTGGGTGCCAAGCAAAAGCAAAAACCAAGGCAAACGTGAAGGCAACATCGAAGGCAAAACAAAAGCATAGCATAGCATAGCATAGCATAGCGCAGCATAGCATAGCGCAGCATATCATAGCGCAGCATAGCATAGCATAGCCTAGCCTAGCCTAGCCCAGCATAGCATTGCGCAGCATAGCATAGCATAGCATAGCAAAACATAGCATAGCGCAACACAGCATCCACTACTGCTGCTGCTGCTTTTTATATATAAATGTGTACTATATAAATATGTGTGTGCGCACGTATGTTCCATGCTACTACTACCGCTACTAGTACAACTACGACGATGAGGAGAAGGAGGAGGACGGCGTTTACCGCTCCTAGTAATGTTACTTTCCTAGAGGCTCCAACTCCTAGGCAGGGCTGCACTGGGATAATTTTGATCATTGCCTTGGGGGCAGTTCGTACCATTGAATCAAAGGGGGAGTCAGCGGAGGTAGTGCAGAGGGGATATCATACGCTGAGGTACTTTCTATCCTCATGTACCTGGCGGGCGCCTACTATCTGCACTGTGCTATGCCGCCTTCTTCTTTTCCAGCCCTTCCCGCAACGTCCGCCACGTACCTTTGCGTTAAGTCGGTTTACATGTTCCTTTATTTTCCGTCAAGAGCGCCACAATCCTCGGATTCAGGTGTGGCCAACGAAAAGGAGGAGGAGGAGGAGGAGGAGGAGGAGGAGAAGGATGAGGAGGAGGAGGGGGAGACGGAGCGGAGGAGCAGGAGGTGTGAATAGAACCCGTATAATACCCTCATATATACTCCTTATCCTGACTCTCCTGCTCCTGGCCGTTTGGGCTCAGGTATTGGATTATATCGATCAGACCTTTGATCGTGCAGGAGGAAAAAATATCCATCTTCCCCTCCTATCCTCTACCAACGGATAAGGAAGGGATTCTGTACCTTTGTACTCCAACCCCATACACAGGTTATCAGCCCTTAAAGCTCACCGTTCACCGAACCCCGCGTCGCGATCTCGCACGCGGCCTTGATGGAGCCCAAGCGGCGCATGCGCCGTAAGGGATCCGTCGGGGCCTCGCTTCCGAGCTCTCCGACGGCTCGGTGGCGAGTTGGAGAGCCTTAGAGTTGACCGTGTGGGTGTCCCAGATACCCCCCCCCAGCTCAGACGGACCCGAGGCGCGGCTAGCTGCTGAACTTCACCGCCACGCCGCCCGCGGGGGGACAGGAGAAGGAGTAGGAGCAGGCAGTTGAGAATCTCACACGCCTACCTTTGAACCTCCATCTCCTCTTCCGTCGGGAGCAATCCCAACTGCGTCGGGCGCCAGCTCCACTGGTCCTGATACTCCAGGGCGCTTCCGCGCTCCCCGCCGATGGAACGCAGGTGTTGGCCTGACCAGTCCTGCGACCGCTCCCGCGTCGGAGCACGTTGCCGCTTTCGAGGAGCTCGGTAGACCAGTGGCGGCACAGCCGCAGACGCAGCATCCCCAGGTATCATCTCATCAGACACCACACACTCACGGCCCTAGCCGCAGCTCGTCCTTGCGTAGCCGTCGAAAGGCCACAGGCCCATACGGCGAGACTGCATCGAGCTCGCGTGCTGCCTCTCAGAGGCCACGCACTCCTCGCGAGATGATGCAACAGGGAGCTGACGCTCCCCACCTCTCCCTCTCAGACGACCTGCCGGCGGTCACGTCCGCTGCAGGTGAGATCGCTGAGCTCAGAGACCAGGTTGAAACCTTCGTGTCCAGGCAGTACTCTGGACTGATGCAGAGCGTTCAGGCGAACGCTGCCAACGCTGCTGCCCTACGTCAAGATTTTGACGGCGCCTTAGCGATCATAGATTCCAGGATCGCTGAAGATCGTGGTATCTTAGGTGAGCTGCAGTTTCAGGTTGACCGTGAGGTGTCACACCTCAGGTGAACGGTCAGCGACGGTCGAGCACCTGCGCAACTACCTAGCGCAGATGGAGCAACAGCTTGTGATCTTTCGTGACACAGGCGTTTCAGCGGTCAGGATCCTACATGACGAGATCCACGGCCAGCTCCGAAACCGACCGCCTCCAGCTGAGGCAACCGACCTCGGCGACGTCCAGTCTCAGATCAATGATCTTCGATCCCACATGGACCACACTACGGCGACGCTTCGTACTGAAGCGAACACTAACTCGTCGACCCTGATCGGCATGTTGCAAAACACTGAGAGAGTTATCGCTCAACGGCTTGACGCGACCAACGCTGTCGTGCAGCCCCTCACTAACCGGATCTCTGAAATCGAGCAGCGTTTACCTGGTGTACAGGACGCCCTGGCAGAGTTGCGTGTCGGGCGAGCCCAGACTGATCAGCTGGGATCTCCTCCTACGGTTTACGATTTCGCCCGCCCCGCTGACAGGTTGCAGGAGGTTAAGACGGCGGCGGACCACGCGCTGTCTGAGCTCTCCCAGGTCATTCGTGAGAGAGATGCTGAAAAGGTACGTGTTGAGGAGTGTCTCACACGTCTGGAAGGTGAAATGGAGGCACACAACGCCCGTCTCCGAGCCTACGAGCAACGACTTGATCGGCATTCACAACGCTCTCGGGACACCGACGATTATGCACGCCAAAGAGTGGACCGCATTCATGAGGACACGGCGAACTGGACAAATCAATTGATTGACCACACCAACGACACCACACTTCACCTTCAGCCTGCAACCGGCCTCTCCAGGCCGACGGCAGCG